AGTGTGATATTTTTCGAGCTTTAAACAGAAAAAAAGAAGATCGATAGATCTGATTTCTGGCCACAGCAGCAGTATCAGGCAGGCAGCTGGAAACGGGTCTCATGTTGTAGCGCTGAATGATATCATTGCTTTATAAAGACACAGTGACGTAGCGGGAGAAGCTAAATTTAATCCTTGCTGGAGACTGAGTGACTTAATTGTCAGGGTCTTGCAAAAGCTGGTCCTGCCTGTGGTAATCCGGCACCATCTCCAGGCAAACCGGAGTATCGATCCAGCCACATTCCAGATGAGCTAGCATAAACAGCACGCTCGGCCCCTTTCTCCGTCTGCATCCCATTCCCGTTTATGTATTTTTTCTCTTTGTTCGGCATTGTAAATCTCGGCATCATAAATCTTTGTCAGCTTTACACATATAGAGCATTTTATAACAAAGAGGTCTCTGCTGTCTCTTCCCTCCAGTATTTAGAGAAAGACTAATGAATAGGAGAATCCAGAATTAGGGGCGTCCTCTCCTCGGAAGATTAAAATGGGTCCCATTGGAGCAGGTGGAGTGCATTTCCTCTGCAGTGTTACCCTCTTTTACATCATTAAACAAGGACTCCCCACTCCTTTTGCTAATAGGGCTGAGACCGTCAAATTCCCCAGGTAGTTATTAACCCATGGAAGTAATAACTGGAGGCAGCAGTGTCTTCCGCATTTGCAATTGCTCCTCAGTTTCTCCACAACAATTCATTTATTTCTCTCTGGACTCTCAGTCCGCCTGCTGCCTATCCTCTGTTCACGCAAGGTTGCGGGAAACTGGATTTTGGTTAGTTTGCCCAAAGTTGGTGTTACCAGTGTAGACTCTCCAGCAGCACCTTGCCGCTGTGTGCGTTGTAGTCCTGTGACCGGTGAAAAGTGACGTTTTGTGAGAGAGTCCGGAAAGGTGTGAGAATCTATTTTTAGCCCCTTGTCCTGACGAGAGCCACAGGAAATCAGTTCCTCTATTTCACAGTTGTTGTCTTGTTCTGATTTTATGTTGCATTCAAAAATGGAAAAAAAAACATCATAGGTAGGGGTGGAGGGTATGGGGGCCTACAGTTCTGTGGTTTTTGAAGAGAGGCTGAGGGCTTTGAAGAAGAGCCATTCCTGTCAGAGGTTAATTTAGCAATTTCTTGGCAAAGTCCAACGCTACTGGCTTATCTGTGAAATCACCCAGGATTTTTAAACTGATCTTCCCTTCAGGAGCTCTGATATTATTTTGCTTCCGGATGTTTTCCTGGACAGTTTTCTTGAGGACAGCAAATGTGATATGTATGCCAACAGCCTGCATTGTGCTCAGGGCCACAGGTAGCAACTTTAAGCTCCTTAATAACTCAGGTAACACAAGCTGAGTTAAAAATGGGATTTCTTTCTCTTGCCAATGTAAATCTTTTGTATTAATCTAATGAAGATACTGAATAAGCAAGGATTTTCAGAATGCAGTAGAAATGAATTAAGTGGCAAACGTTCCTAAAGACACAAAAGACACTTGTACATACATGCTTGGATTCTGAGATTTGCACAAAACAACACCACAGCCATCTTCCGTTTTACACGTTCACTCTCAGTGAAGTGAACACCATGTTTTGTTATCACTGTTGTGTCATAGTACCCCACAGTTTGTCTACTTTTTGTGTTGCCATGTTTTTATCTTGAGTTCCCTACATTTTACTGCTGTTCATCCTTCTTTTACCATAGTACAGTACATTGAAGAATACTTTTATAATGGTCTCAAGCCACTCAGCAGTGCAAGATATTGGAAGTTGAACATAAAATTCAGCTCTCTGGTATTCCCACTCCAAGAAAGACAAGCAAGCTGGAGGATCATTAGGGCAGCTAATCTCAGTGGCAGCAGTAAGAGCAGAATATTATTAGGGAAGGAAATGCGGTTACAAGGGCCAGGTGGAATCAGATTAAAACTAAACTGCGCATTATGCTTTGTGGGCACATAACCTCTACCACTCAGCATGAATTTTGATTGGCATAGCAGAACGTAACCAACATTTTTTTTTGCAGGTTTTACGTTCTAGCAAGCTAACTTTCAATGCTTTCTCCATTTCTCTCCTCTATGCCATCTTAGATTTTCTTCTGCTAATACTCTCCTTTTTCCAATTACTGTACAAAAAAGCTGTAATTTTGATTTAGAGCCAAAAGCTTTGCAATTCACCCTGTGTTACAATGAATATAAGAGGCAAACGATGGCAGTCGTCTGGGTTCAACACACAATACCTGTGTCATTCAAAACTGCTGCTGTGGTTTTAATAAAGGGGACATTTGCTTTCAGGTTTGTACTGTGTACGGGTAAAAGGAGCAGAGCATTCTGGTCTAGGTCTTATTCCACAAGGTCAATGGTTTTAACAGGGATCAGTTGTTTTTATTATTTATTTTCGACATTAACCTTTTCTGAATTTCCGGAGGTAGTGGGCATTTAGAGCTCTGATGAATATACATGAGCAGTGAGAGTGACACCCGAGAATGAGATTTAAAGTGACACGGTGACCCTGTCTACGTTCAGTCAGGAAACCAGGGTGAGAAAATAAGTTTGGCCTACTGACCTGACAGCCTGCGTCAGCCTGAACCCTTCTGTCACATGGGCAGACAATTAAATCACAGCTAGAAGAATGAAAGAATATAGAGTAGCCCCCTTTTCAAAGTCCTTCAGTAGTTCTCTAGGTTTCACAGCAGTCATGTAACTACCTTTCAAGATGATATATGTATAAAGTGATGCATAATTGTCTGAGAAATAAATTTTATATTTAATATACCACATTTTATCTCTTATTTGCTCAACATTAAATTACAGTAAAAACAGTTCCATGCAGTTCATATGATATGTATATTATGTCAATGTCTTGTTTCACAGAGAACTTTATTTCATTTTCAGTACCTAGTGGAACTCAAAATAAAATGCTTGGAAAGGTCTGCATTCTACTGTCAAACACCTATGAAAAATAGTCAATCATTACATAAATAAAAACTTCTTTAAATTCTATTAACTGCATATTGATATATTGACATCACATGGACCTGGATTTCAGCTTAAAAGTAAGATAAGAATCAAATGAAAAATGGACCAAAAGCAAAACAAGCAATCTTCAGGATATGTTTAACCGACTAGAGCTTTTTCATTCAGGGAAGCGTGATCAGAAAAGAATTTCAATGAGACCCGAACTCCAGTTGTGCTGGGAGGATTATCTAGAGTGCAAACCTGCAAGTGTAGGCCAGTGGCCAGGTTCCTCTGGGCTTTGAGGGGAGAATACGCCCCTAAGTGCAAAGGGCACTTCAGGTGGCAAGTGTGTGGTGACATCAGGTGACCTGTCCTCCAAGCCTGGTGACCTCAGGTGGTACAGGGAACTGGAGAAAACTGAAGAATCGTTCTTCCTCATTCTCCATTCCCAATAAATTCTCTGTTCTGATGATTTAAAAAGCTCATTGAAGTCATGGAAGGCCTCTGATTTTTTTCCCTTGGTGAATAAGACTGAAACACTAATATACAGTATTTCAAATAGGAAAACACAGAGCTTGAACAGTTGAGTTCTTACCTACAGCCAGGTCAGTAGTTTATGAATTTATAAAAAAGATGCATGACTCTCAGTTGCATCTCTCTGGACAACTCCATAAACTTTCCCCCCACAGGTATGTGTGAGCTTATGGTAGCTTTGCAGCAGATCATTGCTTAGGAGTGGTAGAAAAAAGCAAAAACATGAGCTACTGGGTCTTGAAAGTTATAACACATTGAATATGTTTACAAAAGCAGTCCATCTTGAAGAGAGATTTTTCAGTTTTGCTAAACATAGACTTTGTCATTATTTTTCATATGGATGTGTGCTGACATCAATGTTCAGCTTGTATTGAATGAAAGATGATTAACTACAACGTATTTTACAAGGAAATGAAAATGATCTTAATTACATTACACAAGAGCATTATTTCAAAGAAGAATTTGTATTCAGGCAGTCCTGAAGGAAAGTCCACTGGGACAAAGGGACACACAGCCCTATGGGAGGAGTCTTGCAGTATTAAAAAGTACTCTCTGTGTTTCAATATTTATTAAGGTACAAAAATATCTTAATGCACCAATCACAGAAAACTGCATTTCTCTCTACGTTGCAGAGAGGCTCAAGTATGCATTTCGAGCAGAAAACTGGATTGTATGACCTCTTAAAGTGTTATTCTCATGGCCTTAGTTTTGCTGTGCCTATTGAAGAGGCATTGTTTTAAAACCTGTCTTGCTAACTGAAATGGTTTTATTTATAAGATCCTCTTGGGACACCTATTCAAGTGCACTAGGATGACTAGTTCAGCTTGCTAACTGGTAATGGGGGTGGAGATACTTTGAAAGAAGACAATGGAGGATTTTTTACATCTAGATTTTTGTGTTTATGCCACTTGTTGTAAATGGCTTTTTTCAAGTATGTGGGGCACATTTCTGTTGTATGTTTGAGTCAACACAGGACTAACATTCCTGACTCTTCATGAGTAACCAGTGGGTTTTGGTTTTTGTTGTGGAGTGGGCTAACATATCCAGATGTGGTTCTCCCACATATTTGTTTTTAGATGATCTCTTATTTTTACGGTGCGGTTATTGTTTTGAATGTTGGTTGCCTTGAATAAAAGCCCAGACCAGGTCAATAGATTCTGAAGAGTTGTCTGTGAAGGCCAATATCACTGGTTGCACATATAGTACTGGCAACAGAAAGTCTGCAGACGGCAGGCGCCCATTTGGATCATCTAGCCTGTTTCTGTGCTGGTATATTAAAAGCTAACTGATCTGAAGATCTCATCCTGAAGATCAGGATCCCAGCCATTTCCTGAAACAGCCAAGGGTATCAGAAGGAAGGCTTTGTTCATGCTCACCATGGTCAATACAATTTAAAATGTGTATTTATCTTCAGAGCACCATGCCTTCTAGGAACAGAGTAAGTGCTCAGTTTTAACCCAGGTCCTAACAGGTGATGCGTGTGTTTCCTGTTTGGCAGGCTGCTCAACAGAATGGCTGCTGATGACCGGCACCTAACTTCCAGCTGTGGGTCTTACATCAAGACAGAGCCTTCCAGCCCCTCGTCGGTCATCGACACGGTGAGCCACCACAGCCCCAGCGGGAACTCTGACGCCAGCGGGGGGTATGTCAGCACCATGAACGGCCACTCCAATGGCCTGGACTCCCCACCCATGTTCCCCGGCGCTGGGCTGGGGGGCGGGGCCTGCCGCAAGCGCTATGACGACTGCTCCAGCACCATCATGGAGGACTCGCCCATAAAGTGCGAATACATGTTGAACTCCATTCCCAAGAGACTCTGCCTGGTCTGTGGAGATATTGCATCTGGTTATCACTATGGCGTGGCCTCCTGTGAGGCCTGCAAAGCCTTTTTTAAAAGGACAATACAAGGTATTTCTATTTTCTCTTTCAGAGACAAGATTTGTTTCTATTACACTCAGTCATCAGCTCTTTACCTCAGTGCATATACTTATATGACTATCCAGTCTTTTTTTTTTATTTGTTGTTCCTGTTTTTATGTTGCTTTTTCATAAAGGAGTGATAAGTTTTAAATGGCTCATAACAGATGATGGATGGGTGCAGGTAATTGTCAGCTCCTGTGTTTCCTTTTTAGGACTTGAATACTGACAGTCAGTCAGAACACATCCTATATAATGCTATACTACTTTTCAGTAATGCATCAGGAGACCAGTCTTTGCAAAGATGTGTAGGCCCATCATTTGCTTTGCTCTTTGCGTGTGAACATACAACTGAAGCTATCCAGTGTTTAACAGGGTCCTATAATGCAGTTACACTTGCTTGGCTGAATAGCTGATGGGCTTGTTTCAGGTATCAAGTTTTGCATGAGTTCCCCCCATCCACAGTGCAGTTCCTACACCACATTGCATTATAAATAGCGATTTTTGACATTCAAATGATGCCTGTTACTGTATACTGTATACAGGAAAAGACGTGAGGTGTCTAAAACATAACTATTTAGTAAATGTCATTGCAAAAACATTCTTCAAATGCCATATTTATGGAACTCCTCTCCATGGCGACCAGACGACATAAATCTAACATGCTGTTGTGCTATTAAGGCATCTGACGAAAGCCCCTGAACATCAACATAACTATGCCCAGCTTGGGTATTATGGAGGATCAAGATTTGCTTGCATAATGCATATAGGTATATACTGTATGTAAGTGGAATTTCTGGCTTCCCACTGAAATGGTTCTCTTGCCATGCTTTCAGTCTTCCAAGTCTAGGGTAGTCACTAAGATACTCTTAAGAAAGGAGGCCAGCAATGGAAAGTATTTTTTAGAACATAATAAAGTTAGAAAAGAGAGGGGACTGTCTAGCCTTTGAGTATTTAGCAGTCAATTGATCCAAGGATCTAATCCATCTGTTTCTTGAAAGACACCAGGGTATCAGCCTCAACAACAACAACATGGCAGGGTAGTGTGTTCCACAGTGCCACCACTATTTGAGCAACGCAGTTCACTCCTGTTCTAATTTTTAAGTGCATTTCCCCGTAGTTTCCTCTTGCACCCTCTTATTTGTGTTTCACAGTTCTGTCTACAGAAATCCACTGGGCTGACTTTGTCAGTGCCTTGAATCCTACAGTTTCATTATCTGTATCAGGTCCCTGTTCATGACTAAAAGATTCAATTCCTTCAACCTATCAGTGTAGGACATTCCCTTAATGCCCTGAATGTGTCTGATTGCTCTTCTCTGGACTGCTTCCAGAGCAGCAATATCTTTTTTATAGTGCGGTAACCAAAATTGTAAACAATATTCTTAATGAGGTCTTTATGCAATTCTACTAGTGTTATGCAATTTTAACAGATCATCCATTGATTTACATTGTATGCTTTAAACTATAGATCTTTTTACATTTTAATTCCTTCCCCACAATGACTAGATGTAAATGGTGTGTAGACATAAACCCCCACATCCTTTACATACAGTAAGTAGCCTCATCTAGCTCAGCATTTCCCAGTATGATAGTTTATATTGTTACTACCTGCATGCAAAACCCTGCCCTTGTCTACATTAAACTCCAATAACCAAGTGTTTGCCCTGTCTTGAATTTTATCTAAAACATGTTTAAATTTCAGTACTGTTTCTTCCTAATTTGGTATCATCTGCAAACTGGACTAGTTCACTAAATCAATTGGAATCTAGATCATTAATATACATTAGGAAAAGCAGTGGTCCTCGTACAAATACCCGTGGTACTCCACTAATTACACCACCTCAGTTTGAACATCCATGCTTTCAACACTTGGTTTCTGTTTACCAATTTCCTCAGGAGCCTACCAACTATAATCTGAGAATTCATCTTTTGTGATGAATCTTAGCAAAAGCCATATGAAAATCTCAAAACGATTCTGTGTCCATTGCAGTTTTTGCTTGTTCAAAGAAATCTAACAAATTAGCTAATCAAATCCTACTTTTTCCAAGTCAATGTTGACAATCCCCTAGGATTTGATTTCCTTATAGGTGATTCTTTAGTTCAGTCTTATTAATCATTGCCATTACCTTACTGGTAACAAGACGTATCAGTCTGTAATTACCTGGTTCAGTGCTGTCACTGTTTTAATGGATGGGTGCTACATAAGCAACCCATGGATACTACTGCTGAGTGAATCCTTTTTTTCCAGGATCTCCATGTACAGTAGGAATGACAGTTGAGATGAAATGTAAAATCACACAAAGTCTAAGATGGAAGACTGTAAACCATTGAAACAACAGTACTGAAACATTTTCCAGTTCTGTTCTGCTTTCTAGCAATGCTCTTTACTGGTGGTACTCTAACTGTTTATTTTGGATCTCACATATGGCACTGTTGGTTTTAAACAGGCTGTGTACTATTGCAGACAAAGAGAAGCATTAATTCAGTCCAGTTGTTTACATAGACGGCCTGCTGCAACAGAGAACACACGTATTGACAAAAGATGAACACTTTCCCTCCAGCAATAAATTTATGGCAGAGCTTTTGTCCCCTTCTAAAAAAAAACATCAGTCGTAAACCAGGCATAAAAAAGGCATTTCAAAAGGCGAAGATGTCAAAACAGAGCAAGTGGCTGAACAGTTAAGAGGAGGTTCATGAAAGGAAAATTGAATGAGTACTTTTTTTTCCTCACTTTGCATTGTCAATTTGAAATCCCTCTTTTTTTTCTTGGAGTGCTGCCTGTAATGGGACTAATCTGCCGTCGTTTGTCCGAGCCACAGGAGTTTTGTCAATAACAATCAGCGTTTGGAAAGTGTAATTAAGGACGAGGCTTTTCATTAGAAAAGAGGGAGGGGGCTGTCTCGAGGGAGAGGGTTGCCAATTAGAAACTCAGGCACGCGTCTCGGGATAATTTCAGGAAAAAAAGAAGACTTCTTTAGATTGGAGAGGGACCCGGCTGGTCTTTCAAAGGAGAAAGCTTAATGGAATATTAATCAGAACTGGGTCTCAGCCCAGTGAGAAGGATGTGGATAGTTTAGGAGGTGAAAGCCAATGAAAGAAAAAAAAAAACTTTAAAAGGCAACCGTAAGTAAATGTAGTTATAAGAAAAACCTTTCTGTATTAAAAATAGAAGAGACAAGACTAATAAAATACATAATTAGGCTAACAAGGGCTATAACTGTGCGAGGGCTTCCTTAATGAGAACACAGCAAAAAGGTTGGTTTTAATTTGTCTCTTAATTTTAATCAATTAGACTTGGGTGAAACCTTTAGTGTGAAAAGTCCTTTGCAGCCCGACAAGTTCTAATATTCCTCCTTAATGATTTCATTTCATTCATGGAGAATGAGCTGTGATGGAAGACAGTGATTGCATTTTGTTGCTTTCAAGCACAGAATCTTAATGTTTGTTCTTACGGCGAATCGTTCCCTATTGCAATTGCATCTTAATGCAAACGATTTTGAAAGTATACTATGATGAGGCAACATCTGAGTCATTTAGCGACTTGGGAAGGTGTAACAAAAATCAGAATGCCATTTGTTTGCATTGAAGCTAAACATTCAAAATGTTTTTCTCCATGACCAAACACTGTTCAATATACATACTGTATATAGATAGAAAAACTCACAGCAGAATATTCAAGGTCTCATTACCGTACATTCAAGTTTTCAGAAGTTCATTGAGTAAATTCACTGTCTCTCTCACACTTTCCATTTCAAGTGAAGGCTTCTTACAAGCAACTGGAGTCTTAGAGACGCAACACTAGCACTTTAATTGGATATCAAAGGTACAAGAATTCTTGAGAAAAAGTTAATAAGTTATGGACATTGATTGGTTCATTGTGGCAAAATATGATTTGAATGAAATTATAGTATGGTCAGGGGTTGGCACACTGGCTCAGTGGTTAGCTTTGCCAGCCTGGGTTCAATTCTGGACCCATGGTGCTGTCTGTGTGGAGTTTGTATGTTTTGCCCATGTTTGCGTGGGTTTCCTCCCACAGTCCAAAGACGTACTAGCAGGTTAGTTGGCTTCTGGGAAAATGGGCCCTGTGTGCATGTTTGTGTCTGTGTCTGTGGGTGTCCTGCGATGGACTGGCGTCCATCCAGGGTGTACCCCGACTTGTGCCCATTGCTTGCCGGGACAGCCACAGAACGGGATGAAGCAGTTAAAAAAATGAATGAATGGGAAAGGTCACAAGTCTGTCATTCAGCACGAACCCATGTGCTTCGGCAATCTGAGGAACTGTATGACACTGCTGGAATTCTGATATCTAAAAGATACACTTTGAAATAAAATGCTTATTTTTGTGTTGCAGTTGTGGCCTGGTGCACAAGCTAGTGGAGATTAACATTGATTGTTTTCATAAGGTCTCTTTAATTGTGAATTATTTCTGATCTACCTGTGGGGTCTGTCATTACAGTGTCCCTAGGTAAGAAAAAATCTTAATAGGCTTTCCTTTTCACATGCTTTTCCCATTTAATAAATCCATCTTCTGTCACCTTTTCATCTGCCAAAAACCCCTTGGACCTAACTTACACCTTCAGATAGTTACATTAGTCAAGTCACAGATTAAAGTCAGTCTTTATCATCATCCATTCTTAAAATAACCCAACCACATTTCTCCAAAATTACTCCTTCATTCTTCACCTCTTGTGCTCTACCTATCACAAACACAAATCGGTGGCTGGGCTCTGGTTTTTCCCCTTGATATCTAATCCGGGTGTCAAATTAGTTTTCCTAAAAACCTAAACTTTTCCAAATGCACTTCTTTTTTTCATTAGAAATAACAGGCCTTGACAGTATCCTGTAAAAGTCGGTTTAGATTTTGATGAGAAATACCTGCCATTTTACTGTAATTTACTTACAAGAACTGACTCTCTGCAACTCCCTGGCACAGATCCTGAGAATCCATAAAACAAATTGAGACAGATAAATATCAAGAAGAAAGTCTTTTTT